ACACACACACACACACACACACACACACACACACACACACACACACACACACACACACACACACACACACACACACACACACACACACACATCACGCTTGGGTGGGAATGAAAAGTGGATGAAAAGTAAACAAAACTGTTGTGTCTTGCTGTTGCTATGTCTAAATCAAAGAGCTTTTCAAGTGACTGTGCATGTTGCACAGCTGTGATAAGCCAGTTCCAATTTGCAGAGCTTAGGTCTCTGTCTATATTTCTCACTTTAGATTATCCTCTGAATTTTTTTGTAGCTTGCATCGATTGGGTGCAGTCAGTTTTGTGATGCACCCTTCTCATAATCAATGGTGTAGGTTGCGTGGATGCTTTTCCCCTGCTCTAACTGAGAACTACTCATCGAAAAAACAAAATCCACTTCCATGGGCCCTTGGCAGTACACCCACAAAGGTCCAGTCAATCTTATGAATGTGTTCATTTTTAGCTCACGGAGATATTTGACAGTCAACTCAAAATGTTATTTGAAAATTGCTATAGTGCAGCAGTTTCCTGCAGTGTGAGGTTTGATTTCAAGGATGCATTGACTTGGCATGACATGATGAGTCCAAGAATGGTTCCAAGCTGACACTTCAGAGACAGCTTTATATTTAACAAGATAAAGCTCTGTCATTAGCTGCTGTCATGTTTTTCAATCACACTGCAAGTAAAACAGCAGAGAATGATATTGTAGCCTCATTAATTTGCATTGTGCTGTTTAGCTGGCCTTCTAAATCTACTCAAGTGCATCACTTCTTTTGTTCCTTAGATTCTCTTCCCTTCATCGTCTCACTGGAGTAAAATGTAATCTAACATAGACTTAACTGAACTCATCGTGCCAGGCATGATGGGAGGAGTTGATATGGCAGTGCAGTTTCTTTGTATCAAATGAATGTATTGAACCTTGAATGAAAGCACATGGTTAGCAGTCCTCTGTGGAGCTTGGCTTAGAAATACCTCTTAACACATCACCATGACCTTATTACCAACATCTTTGTGCACAGTAACACAGCCACAGCTGCTAGACACAACAAAAGATAAAGTAACAGGTATTAGCAAATTGTCTACTCAACCTTGTCTATTAATCTGTCCAATGCTCTTAAACAAATGGCCCCAGCTAGTTAATGGGTCTCTGGAGAGGGGTTTATCTTGATGTACTGTAGATCCCCCTTTGGGTGTCAGTGCATAATACTTAGCCTGTCTGGTCATATGCGCTTGCTATACTTTTCTTTCTTTTAAACAATGGAGTGAAATTATTAACAGATGAAGCCCTTTGACTGATAGAACATATTTGACTTGGGATTTTTTGCAAATCCTTTGACTTTTTTTACTTACATATTAGTATCTGAATGTGTGTAAAATGTATTTCAATGCTGCCGCCAGCTTAACATCATTTATATGTGGGAAGTTAAGGGTCCATCCGTGTTTCCAAGCTATTAAGGCATTAGCCCTGTAGATGAGAGTTATGTTTGGTGTGTGAAAGGTCAAAAACATAGGGGGTCTTGTGAGTCATGTGGCTTCAAATAGTTCAGCAGCACTCAAAGGATTTAAAATCAACTTTTAGTCATTTGTGTATTCTGCAAACTAATTCTGTGTATTATAGATTAATGATGTTTGTTTCAATGATAAAAATAATGGAAATGAAATAAATGTATTAGAGTGATACATTACCCCATCTTCTGTAATAGCTGGTATCACAGCTTGTTTGTGATTGTAAGTTACCAATATTAATACTATTAATATTTGATTAGATGTGAGAAGGCATAGATGTAAAATCCTCAATCCACCTGGAAATCTCAAATGTAATTTCCCAACACTAGCTATTCTGTCTTAAGCTGTAAGAGGAGAAAGTTAAATCACAGTAATTATCTGCATCTGGATAGCATGGGGGCAAATTAATGTGTGACTGAGTCATACTATCACTGTAGGCTGTATTGTGTTGTTTGTCTTTTCAAATATTTTAAACATTTATCTTTGCAAATGTGCAGATATAACATCATTTGCAGTATAGACACAGATTCCATGATCCCAACACTGAAGTATACCTTACCATTGTTAAGCCAAGTCAAACAAGTTACACATTCCACCTATAAAAATAATTTGACAAAATCTTCACAAATCCTATTAGTGGCAGATTAAGAAGTGGCTGGCAATAGAAACTAAATGCAGGGATTAGAGAACAACGCCTCCACACTGCCTCCCGACCTGTCACCTCTCTACTCACTGGCAACCCAGGACTTGGCTAGTACCTCAAACACATAGTGTAGGTAGTCAGTATGTTTATTGAGTCCCTTGTTTCCACATTGGATATTCTCTAAAAATACACTGATCACTCAGTCAGTCCACAAACAACAACTTTTACATGCTCTGAAAAATAATAATAATATCATCACATTATGTGGCCAATTAATGAATAAAACACACAGAGGCTGATAGTGATGGTGGCGCAGTGCTGCTGACAATGAGATAAGTGGGACAATTCCTACACAACCTAAATAACTAAAACATCATGGCAATGAGGCAAGAGCCACAAACAACGATCGAGGACAGACCAGACAGCTATGAAGTACATGACCATATATCTGTGGAAGTGGACCAGGGCAGGGGTTGGATGGGGGACGGAGCAGTGAGGTCACAAGAGTCTGGCAGTGGCAAATGGAGGCCAATCCTCCCGTTGTTGTGGATAGGAAAAGGCTCAGCTCAGGGTCTGCACTAATCGCTCCTCAATGGATCAGACAAACAATCCCCTGACCTACTATGATACAACATACTGTACTCATCCTCCACATACATACACAACAGTGTGGCATGAAACTGCACATGAAAGCTGAGCTGACCTATTAAACCTCCCCCACCACCAACCAACCCACACACACCACACACACCACACACACCACATACACCACACACACCACATACACCACACACACCACATTACACCACACACACCACATCACACCACATACACAGAGCTTTTAAAAGCCACACATACAAATGCACCCACTCATGATGTAACCATATAGTGTATTTGCATTCAGCACACAAAATGGGTCGGTTGCACACTTACAATAGAACAAGCCTTTGTGAAACCCAATTGCCCCCCCCCAGTCTAGAAAGAAACCACATCAGAGATAGAAAAGAACCAAAAAATAATACTTTGCTGTGTAATGTTAAAAAGAAAGGGCCTCTCAAGTCTTTTTTCATAAACAAATCTTCTAGGGACATCAGATGTTTGCCCCAGAGCTACTGCAATTTATCTTCCAACTATACTGATCATAAAAAGAAGACACAGACAGGCAGTCCGACAAACAGATGTGACACAAAACGCATGCATAAAGGAGGTTCTATGAAAGGAAATCCCCTCAAGGCCTAATCCACAGACACACATTAATGAAATGAAAGATTCCTAATCTGTCACATATCCTTCATATTCCTTTTGCTAATAACACATCATTGAAATAACCGGGGTAACTATAGTGCAACTGAAGTTGAAACAGACTCAATGACAGAATGTCTTCAATATAAATATTTTCAATATTTAAGGCTTGGCCTTCATGGAGAATAAACCTTTCAAACATGACAGCACTAGCTTTCTCTAAATTCAAAATATGAATCATAAGTTGGATTTTTCTGTGCTTCTTAAAAAAGAGTAGAGTTAAATTGGGACATAGACGAATGCCTCGAGGCTGAACCCCAGCTTCTGACCAGACACATCAGGCTATTCCTCACAGTAGAGTGACACCAGCTAAGAAAGCAGGACATTGCCAGCAGCATTATAGGCAAAGCCATCACCTCTTTCTGTCTCACTCTCCCTCCTCCCTTCCCAGACCTGCTTCCCTTCACCCAGCTGGCCAGTTTGTCAATGCACCCGTTAATCAGGGAGAGAGGAAAAGAGAAATAGAGCCCACAATCAGTCCCCTGCAGGGAATTAGGCCCGAGCACATTAGCCATCCACACAGCCACCATGCACCAGGGGAATAGACAAGACACACATACACAAACAGCCACTCCCAGTGATGCCAAACAAAGGAGCTATTACCCTTGCCTTACAATTACCACAAAAGCCATAGAATGATACTGGTATTTAAAATACACTTAATTATTACATTTTAAATATTTTTGTGAAAATGAATTATTATGGCAGTAAAGAAGCCAAATTTACTATGAAATTATATGATTATATGAATTCAAGCTGAGGTGGCACCTCTGTGCCCCATAATCAGCCTGCCTGTGATGGCTGGATGAGCC